CAACAGAAAATCTGCCTCATTCGTGCTGCTCAAAATGTTTTCCCATGCAGACTGGGCGGCATTTTCGGACCCGCCCAGTTGGCGTCAGCAGCAATGAGCCAAACCCATCGTCTACAGCAGACATTGAAAGTGGGAATCACGGACAACTTAGCAACGTCCTTGCATGGACATCGCCTAAGCTTGACTTTGGCAAATTCTAACGCTGGATGCCCTTTCGGCATGTATCTGAAAAAGGCCAGAGGTTGAGTAGGTCGCCTGAACTTGAGACGTGACGGAAGTGAGGATGACCCCCGGGCCTTGAAAGCAGTGTCCCTCATCTTGCCCTTTGAGAATGGATGCAAAGTCTAGTTGGACAAGATGGACGTCAATTCTTTTTCTTGCCCTAAAGGTGATACCTGTCGAGTTGATGCTTACAGGGTTGTGCGAGATTTGGGTGTGCTTGTGTGTTCTCTCAGGTGGATTAGTGTGTCTGGCATGGGCAAAAGGTCAGAATATCACGCCCTTTTACTTTAATGGTACTGAAACGGTCGCTTGGACACAAAGTAAACGTCCCTTCACGACCGACTCTACCCTCGTTAATTCACAAGTCAGTGCAAATAGAACAGGAAAAGAAATCTCGGTCTGAGGATGAGGGCCAGATGCTGAGGGCTAATGGGATATTCATCAATCAGAAGGCAATTATCACACAAATAAATCGCCCATTAGCCTAGAAATGGGAATGTGAGGAGACGAGTATTGCTTTGCATACAATAGCGGCGAAGGCTTGAAAGACTAGCAGAGAATGGGCATAGCGACATCTTTTTCCCAAATATGTATCACTTTTAGGCCCGAGTGAGTTCATAGTTTGTAGGAATGGAGAATAAAAAATAGACGAAATCGGCCAAGTAAAGATGAAAGCTGGACTCTTGTCACAAATTCGGATATACTGACTGAGTATTTTCAGCCATTCTGGGCAAGTTTTGACTACGAACCTAGTCAATCCAGATGATATGATTTTTCGAGCATCGATGTGTGTGGGCCTCAAGATTGCAATATATATCTTTTATTCTGGCCTGTCAAAATGTCATTTCATACACGCTGGTCTGTATTTTCTACCTCGACCAGGTTTCATAAGTACCCCAAGCGATATTTAAAGACGGATTTTGCATATCACAATGACATGTTTCCCGGATGCTAGAAGGT